TGGCTGATAAAGTTGAGACGACACACCCCCACGACCCACTAACATTACTACGCTCTGTGTCCAAACAAAACCGCCCCCTCATTACACACCGCCACAGCCCCCCGGAACATGTCTTTTGCGGGGGGGTGGGGGGGGGGGGGGGGGGGGGGGGGGGGGGGGGGGGGGGGGGGGGGAAGGGGGCTAGGAACTGTTAGGAACTGGATGGGTGACCTGCCGCGAATATCCTGTCGAGGAGAATCCTATTTCTTACTTTCTTTTCTTCTTCTTGCTTGTAATTTGGGTTCGCAAACAAGCCAAAGGACGGAGTTGAAGGCCAGTTCTTTTGAAGACAAAATTTCGAACTAAATATAGAGACAAAAAATTGTTCAAAGTTATATTTAACCACTGATTTGGAGCAGGGAAACAAATCATCAATGTTTTCGGTCAGTTGTGACCAGAGGTTGATAACAGAACACGTAATTGTGTAATTCGGCCTGCTGTACTTGAGATATTTCGACTATTTCCTTTCCTTGATTTAATCTTAACAGTAATTTAGGTAGAGAGGAAATTTTTAGAGTTAATTTTTCACCGGAAATCAGTTGATAAAATCGCCTTTATGTAGCTAATGATGCTCACTGATTATCGCTAGAAACCCCCTTTCCAAGTTAGAACCTCACGAAAGCAAGTAATGCTTAAAACAGGTAAAATATTGCAGTAATCTTTTGATTTAACTAGCTTTTGTGTCACTGGTTCGTAAATATATTTAAAAACCTCTTAGATGACCATTGATTATTTGATATTGCTAATCATTTGTAAGGCCAGAGAAAGCAGATGTACAAGTTGATATTAAATCTATTGCCACGCTTCAAATCGATCGAATCAAACACTACTCTGCCATACTACTCTGTACTGATCAGAATTATATCGTTTGGTTTTGGTATTCAAAATTATTAATTCCGTTAGAATTCAAATGATTGCTCCAGAGGCGACAACCTGAAAGATATTGATGCCTCTGCGTAAATCCACTTAATGGATGTATCTTTTAATTTAGTAGAATTACTCATGCGCAGATATCAACCGTCTCTCCAGGGCCCTTGAAAAAGTAACAGCCGACAAAGCCTTTATCTGTGGGCAACAATGGCCCGGAGGCAGCAAGCCATAATTCCCCCACCTGACGAAAATTAACCTGTCAATAAAGACAAACAGCTTGGATTTTGTCACTGTCAAGCAGATGTCCCAGAAAAAAAAGATAAAAAACGCATTTATAGAAATAATAAGAACAATCAAAACGTTTTCGAAATTAAATTGGCGATTTTTAATAGTAAGCTCTTACACACTTTCTTTTTCTTTGTAACGCTGACCCGACTGCCTTGCTAAATTAAGAACTTAACCCTTCTTGAATCTGATGACATCGCACTCTTAAAAAAATTAAGTTTGTCATAAACAGAAATTTGCATCCAGCCAAATTTTAAAGAGTACGCCGTACTGACCAAATAAGCATAAACTTCACATATTTTCCAGATGAATTTTAAACTCTGTTTCATCCGGCGAGGATTAAAGCAGTTAATGTAATTACATTTTCACCACCAATACTAAGCATGACTCTTGTCATAAATCAAAAGCTTTGTCCAGCGGTGAAAAGCCATCACTTAGCCAATGAACGTTGAATATTCGCTCCTGAAATGTCAAATTTTGTGTCCGTGTCTAGAACAAAACACTTAGTACACTTTAGGTAGATTATGAATATTTAAAATTCGGTTCAGCCGACCTGTCTAATGTGTTATTCATAGCGACAATCGCTGTTTACATGCGTGCGGGGGCAGTTCGTCTCCTTGAAATGTAATTATGAGGAGAAGAAAATTAACATGAGGGAAAAAGAGATTTTCGATTTAAGTTTCACTCGTGCTGGATAGTGAGAAAATATCAAAGAAACCAAATCATTTCAAAGAATATTCGTACATTTGATGGGAAACAGTAAGTGTAAGCAAAGTCATTCGTCAGTGTTTGAGAACGAAGAGGAAGAGGAAACTTGGTTTGAATGGATGGAGTCAACGAACGAGCGAAATCAAACGTCTGTAGCACCGAGAACACATCCGTTGCCCGTTCAACCGTTGGCTTTTCAAGCGGATTTGCTTGAAAGATCGAAGAGCGTGAGATCAAAACCAGCTTTGTACTTTTTCAGCGATGGTAATGTCTTAAGGGGACTTCACAAAGCAGGCTCTGAAAATGACAGAATTTCTGAAGAATCTGCTCTTCGTATTGAGAACAATAACTCTCTAAGAAAAAATGAGGAAGCAGTTATGGTCGAAGATGAAGCAGTTTATTCACCGGTAAGTTTTGCTTTCTTAAAAAAAAATATTTATATATTTTCTTCTATCGAACATAATAGAGACAAATAATGAGCAAGCATTTACTTGTTTTGGCGCGCACTGATCTTAGTTGTACCTATTTTGTACCCAATGATAAAAAATAAGATCTTATTGACGACTCAATATTTTTTCAGACATTTTTAAGATATTTGGAAATTTTTACACTACTTCAAAGAGATATAATTATTGAATTAAATGAAATAACTTAATATATAATCGAGGATGGACGGGGATTTCAAATGGGCAGCCATTTCAATAATATATAAACGATTTATTATTTGCATCTCTCCCTAAGAATCTAGAAAAAGGTACGTCCTCAGTATCCTCGTATTTTTTTATTGAGAATTTTCTAAATTACACAGCTTTTATTAGAGGCCATTTGCCTGCACAGTGCATGTATCTACCATGTTTATATTGTCGTTTAGCCCTGAAACTAAAATAGGCAGAGATGACATCTTAAGCAAACGTTTTTGCCATAAACAAGTCTTGGGTAAAATATATAGTGTTGTTTAGCCCTTTTTTAACACAAACAGTTTTAAACGCAAATGATGTACATGTACAAAGCGCTGTTCTTTCCGTGTCAAAAAGATTGCGTTTTAGGAAGTCGTTCATACATGCAGTCTCGAAATAAATTCATTTACGACCTTTTCCTGTTTTGTAGGGCCCTTGAAACAATAAGGGCGGATTAGAGATTTGCATATATATACGCTCTTTACTTTACCTGATCAGAAACAAAAGGCTGAAAAGGGCTCGAAAGCAATTAACACGATCGAAACTGCTTTAGTTTATTTTCTAGGTTCACGAAACCTCGGCAGATCTGACCCTAAGATAACGATATGTGGCTAAGAGAAAATTATTTTTTAAAAATTAATTCAAAAATGCTTCTTATATTCCAGACTAACGTGTAATTTCAAGTATTTTAGTTGCCATTTGACAAGTAGACATAATTAAAGACAACTGGAGATAAAAATGAATAATATAATTATATTGGTTACCATGTTTTGCTCCAAACTATTATATATAACGAACATGTGATTAGTTTTTTTTACTGACCATCTGGACTTATTAGTTAACATTTCGAGGATTTATCTGTTAACGATGTTGCCTTTGAAAACTAAAACGAACAGACTCATTCCGAACCAAGAGTCGCACAATGATTCTTTTAGGTGTATCAGTCTTGCATGCAATGGCACAAAATAAGAACATGAAAGTGACCACCACCTTCAACTGACTGCCCATGATTTTAGAATCATTCATGTAACAGTCATGTTACTAAGGGATTATTCTAAAATTCCCAGAAATTTTGAACTAAACACGGATGGAACGTGTTGATCCAGGGCAAAAAAAAAAAAAGACTTTGTTCACCTGCAGAGGATCGAGCGATCTTTCCAGTCCGAACAAACTTCACTTAGAACTATTCAAATCTATTTCGGTAAAAATTTATTAGTACATGAAACGTTAATGGACTGTCCTGTTAGAAATTTTCTTTAAATGGAACAATATCTTTCAAGTAATATATCAAACATGAGATGCAGTGTTTCATCACCAGATGAAACACCGAGAAGAGAGTTGAAAATACGACGCGCAGCGGAGTATTTTTGACGAACTTCGAGGTGTTTCATCTGGTGATGAAACACTGTGTCGAATGTTTGATATTTCTTCTCAAACAAAATCATTTTTGAAGGAGAAATTAAGGATGCAAATACTAAGCAGTGTTTCATCCGATTTCCAAACACTCATTAAACATTAATTTCCTTTGTATTTTCTTAATGAATTATTAATGAGTTTGAGAAATAAATTTCCTGCTCCGGAAGAAAAAGTATACGATGAAACATAGAAGGGAGGTTCAGTCACTGAGGAAAAATTGTAGTTAAAGTATCGTTGACTCAGTTTAAATTTTCGCTTGCATCGAAACTAACACCTTACTTAAGGTTTCAAGTAGAGAGAATAAAAGGCAGCTGCATTAAACGCAGATGAAAATTATGCTTTAGAGCCATGTTGCTGCCTTGCATATGTCTTATTAAGTAAGGCAAGAGGAAACTCTGTATGGTCGGTAGATGGTTGCCGTACGTACGTTAATGCCAAAGCCACAAATGTGATTTTTTTCTTTTATCATTATTAGTTTTAATCTATCGAATATAATCGAATCTATAATTACTCTCTCTCCGTCGATGATTATTTGGTAAACGAGTCAGTTAAAAATGAAGGTTTCAAAAATGATATGGCGCCCTTTTTTTCTTTTATATTAAGGGTCAGTGAACTCAATGCGAGAGCACAAAAACCAAGCAAAACCAGTAGCTATGTTTGAGTGCACTAAATTAAATGAAATGAAATAAAGTAAAGTAACTGCAAGAAAACACTTTTTCAGAACTGAACAAATGACTCCCTGACAGGCGAGATTCGTTAGTGGAGACGAATTATACAACTGGAACAACCTAAATCAGTGTTTGACAAGAATGTGCTTGGGAAAACATATGTACTCGTGATTCATCCGAAAAATCATAAACCCTTATTAAGAGTCAAATCTTTAAACTTGCTCAATACGGCATCATCGGGGTCAAGGCGTTTCGAGTATAAAGGAGCTTTTAAAAACATTCTTAACTTTTACGTTCAGTGAACAAGGGTCCGCGTTGAAATGACAAGATTATCTATTTCTTTCTTTTTTTTTTGTTGCAGATATTTCCAGATTTTCCTGCCGGAGAAGTCAATGTATCTTTGTCTTTTGACCAAGGTACAAGTCGTTTGCGGGTAAGCATCGTAAAAGCCAGAAATCTCTGTTGCAAAGCTCGTGAAGGAAAAAAGCAGGACAAATGTGGCGTGAGCTGTTCAGGTGATATCGGAGTACCTACTCCGGCTTTTACTGTTATTGCTAAGCCATTGATGGAGACTTAATGTTTTAGAAACCGTTTTTGAATGTCACTTTGGTAATACATGTTCTTTGGCGATATTTATGGCTTGTTTCCTCAAGCATATCCCGAAACCACACACATCTCCACCTCTCTTTCAAGAGCTAGAGCATGCTAGAGGTTAGGGCCAGGAAACAGTTGCTTATCCTTTTTCTATGGGCTGGTAGCATTATTTTTGTGCCTGTCATCGGCGGATCTGTCCAGGCTCAAAATATATTTTACTCCATTGATTTGTCAATATTAGGCTGCAAAATCCAACAAAAATGCCAACATTCTCTACCTTTTAATTCCATCGTGATTTTATCATGAAATAGCAATACTGGTCCAGTGTACTCTCACTGTAGACTACAAACAAAACTAGACAGAACTCCGGCAGGCTCAATTATCAGCCGTTAACTAAGAAACTAAAATTCAAATAAAATTGTGAAGCTTATGCATTGGGCAAGGACCTTAAAGTTTCTAATCGGTAGCCTGAATTTCATCCGATTACTTCGAGTCGTTATTACTCTCTCAGTAACTGAGTTCCTGAGGGAGTAATAACTACTCGAAGTAATCGGATGAAATTCAGGCTATCTAATCGGTGCATGATTTTGGTTTTAACTTTCTGCGTAAGATTTCTGTCATTAGCTAAATGTATGTGCCTCTCACAACTGGAGGTTTTTATTTTCTTCATTGTAGATTTGTATATAACCGTGTACCTAATGAGAGGACAGAGAATGTTACAATCATACCGAACGTCAAAAAAGAAAGGGAGTTCGGATATTTTATTCTACGAAAATTACTCATTCGATCTCTCATCATTGGATCTCAATGAACTAACTCTTCGACTGACTGCCATGCATTGTTGCAAACACGTCATCAATACAGATCACGTGATAGGACAAGTTGATACAGATGACAGGACAAGTGAAACATCATTTGGTTGTCATTGGTTAGAAGTGATCACGAGTTCAAGAAGGAGCGTCAATAAATGGCATACTTTCTGGTGTTAGAGACTCAAAACTTGGTTGTCCAAAGCACGTCTTTTCAAATTCTGGATATAAATGCATAACAGCAATTGCAACCAAGTGTTCAGAAGTAAACAAAACCCGGGGGTCCATGTTTTGTATACGGCTGCAATCTAGTGTTATGTGCAAGCTGTCGCAAATATTTTTGTCAGTGAATAAAAAATAAGGACCTTTTTTCGTTATTAAACTTTCAAACATGGCAAAAGCTTGTTCAGTCCGGAATTAATTCATTTGCTTAAACGGATGTTTGACGTGCTAGAACTTTGTCTATGGCCACGCTCACACGCCACTTGAGTTTTCGTCCTGCTGAAAATTGTGCGGCCACTTCGTTCACACTGAACCGTTCAATATTTTAGTTCCGTTCACACGAATTTTCAAAGGCTAGACGTCTAAATTTTCAGTACGGTTACAGTCAATATTCGGTCAGATTAAAAAATATTTTTTGTATGGATAAAAATGTTATGAATAATAGGCTCCTGTATAAAGACATTTATGTCAATTTAAGAAATGGGCACTAAATGTACACTTCCTCGCGCCTGACTTACGGATTTAACGTTCAAACAATAATTTCACCAATAAAATTTTCAGGGATACACTTGACCCGGCCATGGCTTAACTGTAAGGTGTTCCAGTCTGAACGGAACACCTAGACGCACGAATTTTCAACTGGTTGAAAGTTTGTCCGGTGCCATGTGAACGTAGCTCTAGAAAGACACCTTTAAAAGTGGTTCAAAGCAACCGTCTTAGAGGGATGTCCCCTTTTAGAGGATGAAAGAAAAGACTTGGCTGAAGAATCGACAGAGACCAACTCTAGGTGTCCGTCAAGATAGGGACGGAGTTGATTATAAACTTGTTATGAGTTTTTGACATTGACTGAAAAACTGCAAAACTTTTAGTTTGAGTTTTTTACATTGCCTCTTGAAATAAAACATTAACATTTCTCTATTTCTAGCTCTGTTTTTGCCTCGTTTAAGTTGGAAACTAAGCAAAGACAGCCTCTATTTGCATGACTGTCTTAATGCGGGAAAAGGGTCTTTTTTATAAAAATACTGAAGGGAGGGGAGGCCCAGTAAAATATCGACTTAATTCTGTCGTAGGAATCAATCTGGACACAGGAGGGGGATAATGATAAGCTATTTAGAGAATTAAATAACGCCATATGTCCGGTTCCAGTTACTTTAAAGTGATCGAAAGCAAATGTACACGGTTAAATTAGGAATCACTGGGCTTTCCAAAATCCTCTAGGGAGTATTCCGCGATACTTACTTATATTATCAGAATTTGAAGACAAAGTTCCCAAAAAATGGATTAACAATAGTACCATTTAACTCGTTATTAGATACAGTGGAACCTCGATACAACGAAGTGCCAAGTGACTGGCAAAATGTTTTCGCTATAACGATCGAGGTTTCGTTATTTCGCGGTTCTTTTTCATATATTTTACTATTCCCACTGCATACATAATTACCCATAACACGGGAAGGTTTAACTCAGTTAAGTTCTGTACTGGTGGGCCTGCGTGCTGCTGGGCATGATGCCTCGCGGCCCTGGCTTCAAATAGCGAGGTTTTAGCCGCTCCCTGGCCAGTTCTACGGAGTTCGGTGAAAGTGGCGTTTATGTTTCGCCCCTCCCACCTCCCCTGGTGGCGGTTGGCACCGCTTTTGCACGATGTTCGGCACTCCTATTGCCCTAACAGTCGCGGCATCTTTTCAGAACTTAGTTCCCAGTGACGGGGTAATAGGTGCGCAGTGAGGATATTTTACTATTACTGGGGCAAAGAAAATCGCTCGTTATACCGAGGACTTCGTTATATCGAGGTTCCACCGTACATGGGCGATACTAGTTTGCCCATCAAGCGCAGCCCACTTTATCCAATCCACAAATTTGACAAGAACTTCCTGTTTCAGCAATGATTGCTTTGAGCGGGGCGGGGGGCTTACGAAGCGAATTGCAAGAGAGAAAGAAGAAAAATAAAGGAAAATTCCAAAGCCGGAAAATTACGAAAGAAAAAATTTCAATGTATTGCCTGTATCTACAGATCTAAATACACGTACAACTTCGATGACGAAAGAACAATAATAGAGATTGTAACTTGATTGAAGCAACGTGCGAAATTGAGAGAGTTGCAGAGCTCTGCACAAGCGTTCGCACACTCGATGACCATGTAACGTTAACATTTTGGCTTTTCTACAGTTAACGTTTAATTTATCTCCGTTACGGTTACAGACATTTCACAAGGAAAAAAAAATTGTTTTCTGGGCTGGAAAGGGCTTGAAATACGGTCCATTAGCCACGAGACAAGACACGTAAAGTACTAACAAACAAAGAAGTTTATAAGCAGCGCCATGATGGAGTCTTACAACGCACGTCAACAGAAGGTGGACTTTTTGCATTCTTGGGCAGTTGTTTTACAAAACGTCTCGGAAGCTCGAAATAGTCATCTGACTTGTCTAACAAACCTGAGGCCGAAGGTGCGCTCATTTTACGCCCCCTCTCTCCATCAGTGCTCTGGATTACGGGTAGTTGTGGTCACACCAGGGAGTCGAACTCGGGACCTCCCTCACAGAGAGGCCCTGCACTAACCAACTGTGTTTGTCCTTCCTCATTATATTCTAAAAGGTTTGGCTGATTTACGGCTATAGGTCAACTCCATGGACACAGTCCTTAAATGTTGGGCCAATAATCAGGTTATTGGTTAGCACTTACTGTTGCACTCCAATCTTCCATGTGTTTTTTAACATCGCCCAAAACGACGTATCAACATAAAAAAATTCTACCCTAAATGGAACTGAACTTGAGGATGTCTCTATTTAATGAGGCCTACAAACTACATGAAAACAAGGCAGTCTGCATTTACCTCATGACTCAAAGCTAGTCGGCGTGAACTGTTGTTATTCAAATGACAGAGTTCCTTTAAAAACCGCAGGCTCTTTCTATTTCTATCAAGTGGTCTTATGTTTCTTTGAAATTAGACCGAAATAAAGCCATGCATCATCTGTGGGCCGATCCCATGGTGTATATCCTTTGTCCTGTGTTACCTGAAACTGTGAGCAAGTGATAAGTTTTTGGTTCGTAAATCTAATTGAACCAACATACTGGAGGTTGTATTTTTTGAAGTGAACTAAATAAACAACGTTATAGTGGAATTGCACGAAAGGTTTTGTTGAAGAAAATATGTTTTGCCAGTTTGGCGCTGGAAAATGTATCGAATACAGAACAAAAATTTTCTCCCCACCCTGCCAGTAAGCTCAAACTGTTTGATGTGTAGTGATAATACGTTAAACAGCTTCTACCCGACGCGGGCAGAGGCCTAGAGCCCACTACATAAACCAGAAAATACAAAGGTTTAAAGTTTATAATTAGGTTTATAATTGTATTTGATACAATTCGGTTATCAATTTTTGCTTCGCATCTGCACGGGTTTCTAGTAATCATTCGCATCTTTATAAAGAGAAAAGAAAGGCGTAGTTATATTGGCGCTCTTTGAAACTTAGTCGTAATATTTCCTTCAGGACGTTTTTTTTTTAAATAAGCACAAAAAATTAACCAAGTGAAAGAAGAAGTAATAAATTATGTGCATATCCTACGCGTGTCGATAAATGAATCGGATCCAAGAGTTATTACAAGTGCAAACTTGAAAATCAGAAATGGAGTGAAACAAGGATCGAAAGACTGTGAGAAGAAAATATAGTAAGCATTCTTCAGTAACACATCGCTTTTGTGTTTGTTGTTTAATTTGCTTTTATGGTTTGTGTTTATGGTGTTTTCCTTTTTGGAAAATTTCCAACGAGAAGCCCATTATTTTTCAGGGCCCCCTCCTAGAAATGAACATCGATAGAACCTTCTTCTCTCTAAGGCTTTCCTTTTTCAGACGCAAACCTCTTTGGGGTGGTCCCAACGGTATTAGTCTTGCTACGAAATGATTCGTACAAGTATCTACTTCTTTTTGCTTGTTTTTCAGTGTACTAAGGTAATGTGAACCTGCGTCAGTGGAAAATTCTCTGAAAACCACATCACACGGGAATAAAACGTTACAACAACATTAAACAATCATTTCACGCTGAAGAGGTTAGAAACTCTGGGATTTGCTCTAACGCTTTTTATTTGTGACCCTCCATATGATTTCAACAACAAAGGTGATAAATATTCTTTTTTTTTCAGTTCACTTACTATTAAAAAGCAAGAAAGAATTAAAACTGGACTTGCTCTAAGGATGACTGATTTGACAAAGAACATCTGGTTTGCAGTGTTTCTTCCGGAGTTTGAAATGATGTTTATAATCAACGTCTTCGCTCTCGTCACATTTGCCACTATTTTATATATCACATTAAAATGTGATATGTATTTGAATGGCTTGTTGTTTCACAGTGAAGTAGTTTTCACTTTGTCTTTTTGATATGAAGTTGAGTTTCTTCTTAGTTGTTGGCTAAGATAGTGTTGAAGTATCTGACATGTAAACATACTTTATTGTTCATGTCTATTCAGAAAGGATTGATTGATCCTGAATCAAACAAAGTGCAGCCTACTCAAGCAAAGCATATGTCCCTGATAATGTCAATAAAATTCATTAATGGAAAGATCTGGGTTTTTACTCCTTTGTAGCACTTTTGACTACGCATCACTTTTCTAACCCAAATACTAAAAAGATATAATCAGTATTTTTTCCAACTAACATATTTGCAATCAAAGTTCTCTTCTTTCATATATAGCATTCCCCTAATTTTAAAAATTTCGTTATCCTATTCAGATCGCAAGCCCATTAACTGTTGAAAATAAAAAAGAAAAAAAGAAACCTTCTCGGTCATAGACGGCTTTAAAGTTTTGATATTAAAATCGCACCCGTTCACAATGAAAAAAACATGAATGCAGACACTACAGTTCATTTAGCTCATGTTCAAACTTTTTTTTATAAATTAGAAAGTCTTGCTGGAGAAAACATAATTTTGCTTTATGCCCGGCCTAAACGCGAGCATCGCAGGGAAAGAACCCCATAGGAATAGGTGAAAAGGATAATAAAAAGTCTAGGCTATTCTAAAAATATCCGTATATGCGTTTGCAATCATATTAACCCGCAATTAATCTTCTTTCCACTGGAATAAACAAACGATGGAAGTATTACTGCCATATTGAATTTGGCAATGTCACTTGGTCGCGCGTCGACCAATCAGACATTTTTCGCCGGTAAAACATTTGCAAGAAGCCCAGGTCTACGCAAGCGCAGTACTTACCTGATAATGAACCTGACTGTAGCTGATTTGGGGGAAGAAACCGCTGCGGGGCCTGTGGATCTTTGGTTTTTCAGAACAGGAACAGGAAAAGAACATGGGCAAAGACATGGTTACAAAGTTTCAATGATCGCTGACATTTTTCATGTAGTTTCGCTGGTTGATCTCGCTCTAATTTCTTTAGAGTGATTGCACGAATCTCTATACCCATACCCAATTGAGCACTGTTAAGTTGGGAACGCATTTGCTATA